GGCTCCTGCCACTATCCGTAGACTCTTGTTTTGAGCTTTTCCAAGCGCCTTGGTGATCCCTCTCGTTGCTGGCTCACCCCCCTTCTCGGTGGGGGTGCTTACGTTAATTACTGTAATGCAGAACTCGCTGTCGCACCCGCCGGGTTTAGCGGCCGTCCCGATCGGGTATAGCGCCACGTCAACCTCGCGTGCTCGCACGGCCCGGCTGCGCCCGCAGCATAAATAGAGATCCTCCTCTCTAACGTCGCTTTTTTGTACTCTCGACTTTCTCCCTCCCTCATCATTTCGCTCGGTCCCTGCCTCCTCATCTCCTTCGCATTTTCCCTTGCCCCTTCATCCTGCAGCTCGCCTGCCAATGTCGCCCGCGCCCCGACACCCGCTTTGCCAGGCTGGATGCCTTGTCCTGGCCCTCTTTTGCGTTCCTTAGCCACAGGCCGTCGCCTCGCGCAGAGATTATACTTCAGCTTGCGGTTTATTCTCCAAAGCTCTACTCTTTTTACCGTTCTCCAACCAAGACATAAGACATTCTCAGCCTTTTGGCGGTGCATTCGTCAGTCGCAACTCCTGACTCGACTCTACGCTCGATTCCGACTCGACCTCGAGCTTTCTTTCCGTTTTGGGCCTCTCAAACACCCGCTTGGTTCCTCTTCTCCCCTCGCCCATTGCCCCCGCCCTGCCCGCCACGGTGCTTCCTTTCGGCCACAGGATTTGGATCCATGTCTGCCTGGTAGGTCCCCCGTTTCCCCCGTGCAATTTGCAGGACCTGCGCATCCTGACCAGTCACATAAATGCCGCAGGTTTTGATTACGTCAAATGTTGAGACATTAGAAAGGCCTCAATTTGCCTGGCGCATTCAGGGCGTTTCGGCCTGCAGATCGGGGAACTTCCTTTGGTCGCAATCGGACCGAATCCCAGAATAGCTGCGGCGAGACCTGCAGACGACCGGTTACGAAAGCGGCAGGTTGGCCTCCTGATGCAACTGCAATCTATTCCGGGGCACATGCCGGATTCAAGGCTGCAGCGGGCAGGGATGGTAAGGCTTTGCCGGCAAGGCGGCCGATGTGGCCCCGAAGAGATGACCTGGCCTGGCTGTCTTTGCTTTAGCGACGGCGAGGAAGGTCAGGCCCGAGGAGGAACGGGTTGGGAAAAACAACGAGATTCTGCCTTGCCATGGGCGGTGCCCAAGACTGAACAGGGAAGGGGGAGGCGCATGCGGACAAACGCGTGAAGGCGTCGCAGGAGAACATACGCCAACACCGCTTCGGCTAAGCCGGTCTCGGCAGACTCCATCGAGATCATGCTTCATCGGGCCTCGAGTCAAGGGTCGTGATTCGCAGCGATACGATGTCCTTCGATCCCCTTTCCCCGGCCTCTCCTCTCTGTCTCGGCAATTCATGGTTGGCAGACGTACGAGGGACCGGTGAACTGATGTCTCGCCCCATCCCGCACCGGAGAACCTCCCTTGGCCACAATCGGATCGAATGCCAGCGCGACTACGGCGAGACATGTGGGCCGCTGGTTACGAAAGCGGCAGATGAAGGTTCTAGCCCGACTACGATCTATTTCCGGGTCACACGCCACTGGATTCGGGCTGGAGTGAGCTGGGCCGCAAGGCTTCGCCGGCAAGGCGGCCGATGTGGCCCGAAGAGATGACGTGGCCTGGCTGCCTCTGCTTCAACGACGGCGAGGCAAATCGGGCCCGAGGAGCAAATGGTTGGTAGAATTAACGAGGTTCTGCCTTGCCATCCGAGGCGAAAAATGGAGGGGAGGCGCATGCGGACAGACACACGCAGGCGTTTACGTTGGCTCCCCTTTTCTACGCCTCTCCTTTCTGGTCTCGGCAACTGCATGATTGGCGGAGGTACGAGGGACCGGTGAATCGATGTCTCGTCTCAGCCCGCACCTCGGTGAACCGCATGCGACGATGCGTTTCACAACCGAGCACGTTCCTTGCAAGCCCGTTGGGATTGTGGAGCGGATAGGGAGTTGGAGGCTGGGTCCAGCTCTTTGCCAGTTCTGCAGTCGACTCCACCTTTCTCCGCGCACGTCGATATATTTCGCTCGTGCCCCGATGCCCCAGA